GCCATGGCTGAATCACGGGGTTGGCCTTGAGCTTGGGCTTCTCCACTGCCACCAGCACCTCTGCCACCCCTTTCCTCAGGTCCAGTCATTGTCGAAACTGCTCCAAGGGGCTCTGATACCACTTGTTATAGTCACAATAGGCTTGAATGTGCCTAAAACGAAAGATAGAGTGCACAGACGGATTTCTGCACAGCGGCTTCAAACGTTGATAGCGTTCTGGTCCTAGCTTCAAATGATGTGGAACAGTGCCACACTGTCCCCAACCACGAAGGGTCTCGAAACTACCCTCCACAAGGGCCTATACCAAGAGAAATGTTACACTACACAAAGTAATGCAACTATTCTCACTATCTTAAAGTTTACCCTTTTGGAGAGCTTCGAAATCACTTGAATTCTGAAACCAAGGCTCTGGCTCTTCAAGATAAATTCTTCCTTGAGTTCTTGGAAGTCTGCTGCGCACACCTGCGACACGCCAAACGTTCCACACACGACAAAATAGAAAACCGCACACGACACGCAAGCGACGACGTGACACGCGACTAGCGATAACTCGCTATTGACTCGACACACACATTCAAAATCATGCCTCATCATTCACACACAATTGTAATCATGAAATATATATTACTTCATGCCCTCATACCATTCCATACACACACGCATGCACGCACACGGACAACAAGCCGAATGCAAACCGTAGGGTTGCACCAACAGGAGCACCCCTCAAAGAAGGGCGTGCGTGGAGTGCCACGAGCAGCACCTACAGCGACTACACTAGTCTCAGCTGCAAGGAGGTGCTGCTTGAGTAGGTCAACAGTGAGGACTGTGGGGTCAAGTGAGAGAAAGTGGTCCCTGACAGAGCGAAGAGAGTCAGGGAGGCGGGTGACTATAAAGTAGAGAGTGATGAACATCGGGGGCTTGTTCCTGACATGGAACTCAGCTGGGATGGTAGCGCGGTAGCGAGCGTCGCTATCGCGAAGGTGGGAAACCAGGTCCTCTACTGTGGCAAAGGCAGACAGCTCGGGGAACAGGTAGGGCAGTGGAAGACGTCCTAGAGTAGCAGTGGCAAGCGAGGAGTAACGGGCGACTACAGCGTCGTACAGTGCCACTGTAGGCTAACATTCGGCTAACGGCAGGTGGTTGCGAATGGCTAAGCGAGCAGCAGCGTCACGGGTAAGCCACTGTGAGCGAGTCGCACTGTCAGCTGTGGCGGGAGGGGCAGAGCGGCGCGAGACGTGTGGTCAAACAATGAAACGCTGTCCCTAGAGCTGCAGGTCGTCGAGCCCGTGTCAAACTGGATTGGTTGGCCCTCATGATCGAATGCGAGAACGCGGAGAGAAGCCATAGCGGCGCAGCACGCAAGGCGGGCAGAGGCCGGGCAGCGCAGGGAACAGGGCAGGCAGCAGAAAGGGGGCGGCAAGCAGGTAGCAAGAGGCGGGGCGCAGCTGCAAGAGGGGCGGCTCGAGGGCCTAGGGGCGGCCGGCTGGCCTAGGGGCGGCCGGCTGGCCTAGGGGCGGCGGGCGGGTCGCAAGGGGCATCACTCGGGGCTGCAGGGGCTGCGAGAGGGCCGCAAGGGGTGGCTAGCAGGGCAGAAGGGGCGGCTAGGGGGGGGGCACCAGGGGCGGCGCGCGGGGCTGCAAGGGCGGCTCGCGGGCTGCAGGGGCGAGGGGCGGGCCGCAAGGGCCGGCGCGGGGGGCTTGAGGTCGACGGGTGAGCCGGGGCCTAGGGGCGACGGGCAGGCCGGGCTAGGGTCGACGTGGGGGGCGCGCGGGGCAGTAGGGGCGACGGGCGGGCCAGGGCCTAGGGGCGACGGGCGGGCCGGGCCTAGGGTCGACTGGCGGGCGCGCGGGGCAGCAGGGTCGCCGAGGGGGGCCGGGGCCTAGGGTCGACGGGGCGCGCCAGGGGCCTAGGGTCGACGGGCGGGCGCGCGGGGCAGCAGGGTCGACGAGCGGGGCCGGGGCCTAGGGTCGACGGGGCGCGCGGGGCAGCAGGGTCGACGGGCGGGGCCGGGGCCCAGGGTCGACGGGGCGCGCCGGGGCCTAGGGTCGACGGGGCGGGCTGGGGCCTAGGTTCGACGGGGCGGGCCGGGGCCTAGGGTCGACGGGGCGCGCCGGGGCCTAGGGTCGACGGGCGGGCCAGGGGCCTAGGGTCAATGGGGCGCGCGGGGCCTAGGGTCGACGGGGCGGGCTGGGCCTAGGGTCGACGGGCGGGCCTCAAAGGGCGGGCGCGCGGGGCCTAGGGTCGACGGGCGGACCGTAAGAGGGTGGCGCGCTGAGCAGCAGGTGCGGCACGAGGGTCGCTAGGGGCGGCGCGTGAGCCAGCAGGGCGGCTAGTGGGGCAGCGCTGTGGTGGGCCAAAAAAAAAACGGTCCTAGCGAAGGACCTGCTCAGAAACCATGTCAATCAAACGAACGAGCATGAATGAACTATGAAAGAGTTGGGTACAAGTACTAACCCTAATTGGGTTGTACCCCTTATAGGCTACCCCACTATAGCCTACACAAATGTAAGCACTATAACATTCTGACACAGGTCACTCCAGTAACCTTCCGCTTGCGTTTACCCGCTACCTGGAAGATTCATAACGCCTTCCATGTCCATCTTCTCAAGCCATACCAGGATCCAAACACGGTTTTCAAAGGTCGCAAACCACCACCACCGCCACCTGTAACCGTTAATGGGGAACCAGAGTACGAAGTTGAAGCAATTTTGGTGCACCGTCGACGACGCAACGGCACCTTGGAGCTCTTGATTCGTTGGAGAGGCTATGATCCTTCCGAGGATAGTTCGGTACCTGAATACGACATGGATAACGCCCGTCGTCCTCTCCAGGACTACCTTGTTAAGCAGGGTGTTACTTCTACCACCCAGCTTTGAGGGGGGGACGTCCCCATTATAATATTTTCTCATAATTATATTTTTCCTTTATCTTATTCTCCTTTTTCTCCTCTTTATTCTGGTCTTTATTTCATCTCAATCGGCCTACTATTCTATTTTCTAGAGCCTTCTCTTTATTTCTCTTATTTCCTATTTTTCCCACCAACATACTTGTTATACGACACCGACAGCGCCGACACTGGTGTATACGGTGTAATCTGGGCATAATCCCAAGTGCCAATAACCTTGCGTGCTTGTGCGCACTTGTGATTGTAGTATCGGGATGGGTATGTTCCCGAATGTTCGTTTTACCTATTTTATCCTTGTAAGTTATGAGTATAAAACGCCTTGTATTTAGTTTTAGTGACAAGTTTCGATTGAGAATTCGATCCTGTCACACCTAGTCCCCGAAGAGCGATTGTGACAAACATGTCCTCAGGTATCGTGTTTCCTAACTTCTACAGCTGGTCGCGGATGTTGCGGCATCGATTGATATAGGCATTTGCCTTTTCGCCATGAGTCATTTTGACTTCTAGGAGCTGCTGGAGGAGGCGGCTCGAGGATATGGAATCCTTGGGCTGATAGGTTTTGACGAGATAGCTTCAGGCTGTCATTGCGGAGGCTGGGTCATTTTTGAACGGACGTATGCCGAGTTGTTCGGCTGGGGACATGTTTCGCAGTAGGATGTTGTACGCCATAAGTGAATCGTTGTAATATTGGACTTTTGCTTCGTCGGTGAGGCTTGCGGAACCAGGGTGGCTTCTGTCGAAGAAGCAAAAAATCTGGGCGATTTGGAGGAGCAGTTCGAGCTCAAAACTCCACGTGTAGAAATCCCGTCCGTTGAAGGCGGTGCTCGTACGAGTCTTCGAGATTGCCAAGAACTTGTTCTGGGCTGTGAGCATGGCCTCGTTGCTTGGACGTGAAGTGATTGGGGCAGCAGAGTTCGATCCGAGGTCGAATGTGGTTGGAGCCGGTTCCTTGTTGGGAGCAGCAGATTGTTCGGGTTGCTGCGAGGTTCCGTGGTTTCCGTTCTTCATTTGCTAAATTCCGGGCTCTAGGGTGGTGATGCGATGAATGAGTTGCTCGAGTAGCGCATTACTAACAGTGGTGTTTACCGCAGAGTTCGTAGTTGGGTTGGCATGAGCTTCGGCTGTAGGAGCCGCCTGCCCACCAGATCCTCCAGCCATGTTTCAACGGGAGCGCGTACCGGACACCATCTTGGATTCGAATGTGAATCGGGGGTGGTAATGCAAAGAATCCGGAGTGGCTCTTATACCATGTTCGAATCTGAAAAAGGAGGTTTGTATGATCGTCTTGGGTTGATCGCTTATCTTATAGCAGCGGAAGATTGCTAGTGTATTGTTAAAGTAGGAGGGGCCATAGCTAGGGTGAAAGCTAGGCAAGTGTCGAGAGAAAAGTTGAGAAGGAAAAATGGTGTTTCACTAAGAGAAGAAAGTACAAGATATAGGAGTTAGAGATGGCAAAGGGTGCACCACCTACAGGGACTATAACAGTATCTACACTACAGCTATAACTATATGCAGTTATACAGAAATATATATAAAATATATTCTGACACACCCCCTAACTGCATGCAGGAATAGCCATATGCAGAACACCCCCTGAAGGGGTACACCCTTCGCAGCGGAAGAAGGAGAGAGCAAGTGAGGAGGAGGAGGGACCATGAGAGGAGAGGAGGTGGGGGGAGGTGGCTGATGCTGCAGGTGGACTCACACCACCCCCTCAACCTCCCCCCCCACAGCAGCAGCAACGGCGGTGAGGAGAGAGAGGAGGAGGCGTGGCGACATTTGCTGCAGTTGTGTCACCCACCACCCACATCCCCTGAGCCTCCCCACCACTTCACACTCCCCCCCACAGCAGCAGGTGCGGCTGTGAGAGAGAGGAGGCAGGCTGGCGCTGTAGGTGCAACCTCCCCCTCACACCCTCCCCTCCCCTCCCCACCCACCCATACTGCTGCACGTGCAGCAGGGAGAGGGAGGACAAGGAGGGGGGGGGGGGGGGGGGTAGGGGCTGTGCATGGGGCTGCAGATGCGCGTGCAGAGGGCAGCAGGGCGCACAGGGCGCACAGGGCAGCGGGCAGCAGGGCGCGCGGGGCTCACAGGGCTACAAGGCGCGCGAGGGCGCGCAGGAAAGCAGGGCGCGCGGGCGCGCAGGGCTGCAGGGCGCGTGGGGCGAGCAGGGCAATAGGACAGCAGGGCGCGCGGGGCGCGCAAGGCTGCAGGGCGCGCGGGGCGCACAGGGCAGCAGGGCAGCAGGGCGCGCGGGGCGCACAGGGCTGCAGGGCGCGCGGGGCACGCAGGACAGCAGGGCGCGCGTGGCGCACAGGGCGCGCAGGGCAGCAGGACAGTAGGGCGCGCGGGGCGCGCAGGGCTGCAGGGCGCGCAGGGCGCACAGGGCAGCAGGGCAGTAGGGCGCGCGGGGCGCGCAGGGCGCACAGGGCGCGCGGGGCGCACAGGGCAGCAGGGCACTGCAGATCCCCTCCCCCCAACTACTGCACCCACAGCAGGGGGATGGAGGAGAAGGGGGGGGGGGGGGGCAGGGGGGGCTGGTGCTGCAGATCCCCTCCCCCCCACTGCTGCACCCGCAGCAGAGGGATGGAGGAGAAGGGATGGAGGAGAAGGGGGGGGGCTGGGGGGCTGGTGCTGCAGATCCCCTCCTGCCACCCCCTGGACCTCCAAGCTCCCCCCCCCCTCCCAACACAAGGTGCGGCAGGGAGAGAGAGAGGAGGAGGCTTGGCGGCAGCTGCTGCTGCTGAGGCACATCCGCCACCCCCTCACACCCTCTCCCCCCTGTCCCCATGGAGGGGGGGGGGGGGGGGGAGGGGGGGGGAGGGGGACGGGGGCGGAGCTGCGCGTGCGACTGCAGGGCGTGCGGGCAGGAAGAAACCGTCGCAGTGGGGGGCGGGGGGGGGGGGGGGGGGGGGGGGGCTGGTGCTGCAGATCCCCTCCCCCCCACTGCTGCAGATCCATTCCTGCCACCCCCTTACCCTCCAAGAGCCCGCCACCCCCATACCCCCCTGAACCTCCCTCCCTTCTCCTCTCCCCCCTTCCCCATGGGGGGGGGGGGAGGGGGGCGGGGGTGGGGAATGAGCTGCGCGTGGAGAAACCGACGCGCTCCCGAGGCGTGCGACGGGCAGGAACCGACGCGCAGCCGGGGCGCGCATCGGGCAGAAACCGTCGCGCACCCGGGGTGCGTGACGGGCAGAAACCGACGTGCAGCCAGGGCGCGCATCGGGCAGAAAGTCGACGGGGCCGACGGGCCTAGGGGCGACGGGGGGGCGCGGGGCCAAGGGGCCGAGGGCGACAGGGCCGAGGGGCCTAGGGCGACAGGGCCGCAGGGCCGAGGGCTAAGGGGGCCGAGGGGCCTAGGGCGATAGGGCCGCGGGGCCGAGGGCGAAGGGGCCTAGAGGCCTGAGGCTGTGGGGCCGAGGGGCCAAGGGGCCAAGGGGCCAAGGGGCCAAGGGGCCGAGAGGCCTGAGGGGCCTGAGGGGCCGAGGGGCCTGAGGCCTAGGGGCCGAAGGGCCGAGGGGCCGAGATCGAAGGGGCCGAAGGGCCAAGGGGCCGAGGGGCCTGAGGCCTAGGGGCCGAGGGGCCAAGGGGCCGAGGGGCCTGAGGCCAAGGGGCCGAGGTTGAAGGGGCCGATGTGAGATAATTGAAGAAATGAATGATTGAACTAGAAACGGGATGGGTACAAGTAGAGAACACAAAAGTGTTGTACCCTCTAAGAACTACCCCACTACAGCCTAAACAGACTATAGCAGATATAAGTTTGACACACCCCCATAGGCAAAGTGGGGGAGAACAAAAGGTCACAAGACCAGTCAAGAAAGACAAAGCAAGCTCAGGGTGGATCACAAAGTCACCACGCAGTCTGAGCACAAGTAAATGGCCACAAGACCAGTTCATATGCAGAGTCATATAAAAGAAAACAAACAATAAACAGAACAAAACCTAGCAAGAGTAAGCATGCATGTATATGTATAAAGAGTACAGTACAGGCAGAGTCAGGCAGAAAGCAAGTGAGGCACAGTAGGTACAAGGCCTAACACAGTGCAGAAACGCTGATGATCACAAGGCTGAAGTGCCTTGGTGAAAACATCAGCAGTGTTGGCCTGAGAGGCCACGTACGCAAGACGAAGCTGGCCACGCTGCTGCAACTCTCGGGCAAGGAAGTAGCGCAGAGCAATGTGCTTCGTTCTGTGCTCCAGTCTGTGCTCCTGACACAAGGCCAGCATGGCCTTGTTGTCGACGTACAGAACTGGAGGAGAACGAGGCGCCTCTCCCAAGTCGGTCAGCAGGTAGGTAAGCCAGCGTAGCTCCTGTGCAGCCATGGCCCCAGCGTAGATCTCAGCCTCACAACTGGAGCTGAGAACAGAAGAAGAGCGGGTAGACCGCCAAGAGACAGAACCGGAGCCAAGACTGAAGGTGTAGCCCTGTGACGACCGCTGCGTAGCCAAGTCGTCAACCCAGGAGGCGTCAGCGTGACTAGTGAGAACAACTCGAGCCCGTCCTCCAAGCACGAGCCCCATGCCCGATGTACTGCACAAGTATCGCAACACCCTCTTCGCAGCATCCCAGTGTACCTTTTGGTGCCTGCCGGGAGCCACGTAGCGAGCCAGAAGGCTGAGAGGGTATGCGAGGTCAGGTCGTGTGCAAGTCATCAGGTACATGAGGCAGCCCACAAGCTCTGGATACGGGCCACTCGGCTCTACGGACTCGTCCGAAGGTGGAGCTGAGAGCGAGTGACCGGTAGGCAGAGGAGTAGACTGTGGCGAGGAGTACGTGAAGCCGAAGCGCTAAAGGACCTGCTGCACCATGTGTGACTGAGTCAAGGTAATGGTGCGCTGTGCTCTGTCCCGGGTGATCCGCAAGCCAAGATAGCTTGTGAGCTCACCCAGGTCTGTTCACGTGTGTCTCTTCTACAGCTCGGACTTCACGTGGGCGAGTGCCTCCGTGTCAGCAGTAGCAAAGACGAGGTCGTCTACGTACACGAGAACGTAGAACGGCGGCAGAAAAGCGTCAGTGCGTAGAAACAGAGAAGGGTCAGCAGTGGAAGGAGCAAAACCAAGAGAAGCAAGAGTCGTCCTGAGCGTGTCGTGCCACTCACGGGGCGCCTGGCGGAGACCGTAGACTGGCCGTCGGAGGCTCCACTGGGTACCAGCAGGAAACAACCCAGTGAAGCCAGGTGGGCGGCGCAGCCAGATCTCCTCGTGCAGGCTGCCCTGTAGGAAGGCTGTGCTGAAGTCAAGCGAGTGGAGCTCGTAGTCACGCTGAGCAGCAACGTGCAGCAGTACCCGAAGAGTGGTCATCTTCGGGGTAGGGGAGAAGGTCTGAAAGAAGTCAACTCCCTGTCGCTGACTGAAGCCACGTGCAACGTAACGCGCCTTGAAGGCAGGCGGAGAACCCGGCGGCCGCTTCACCCTGAAGATCTACATGCCACTGACGATGTTCGCCCCAAGTGGGGGAACCTCGTCTACGTAGGTGCCTGTGGACTTCCAGGAAGCCATCTCTGCGTCCATGGCTGCCTGCCACTGAGAGGAGTAGGGACCCTCTATCGCCTCTGCGTAAGAGCGCGGGGTCGGGATGTCTAGTGCATCCGGGTCTCCCTCAGGGGCCAGCAGCATGGACACGAGATGAGGTACAGAAGCAGCAAAGCACTCAAACTCCTCCTGTCTGTCCTCAAGAACGTCCGTGCCAAGAGCACACTCACCCCCGACGAACAGAGGACAGACAAACACAGACGCAGCAACCAGACTAGCAGCATAGTCTAGGCGACAGGCAGCAGCAAAGGCAACAAGCTCAGTAACACGAGCAGACGCAGCAGAGGACTCAAACAGAGGGTCAGTGACAGCAGTGGCCAGAAAGCGCGTGACAGCTGGACTAGCAGCACGAAGGAAGTCAGACTCCGGGTCCGGACTGGCAGGAAGAGAGGACGCAGGAGGAGACGGTAGAGGGACACGCTGTGGAGCAGTAGAAGGACGCAGAGTCATAGAGTGAGTGCCTGGGACAGGAGGGAGACGCGGACGCGAAACACGACCAGCGCGAACAGAACGGACAGGCGACGCAGCACGAGACGCAGGCGACACAGGACGAGACTCAGGCTCACGACGCTCCGTAAGGCCTCCAGTCGGTCCAGAGTAAGGACCGGGCAGAGGAGAGGCCGGCTGCAACTGTGGCTGGGACCGGACAGGCGGCGGACTCAGGAAAGGAGGAGGACCAGGAGAAGGCGGTGAGCTAAGAACCTGCTGAAGGAGCGGAACGTAGTACGGCCGCGGCCGCGCAGCGCCTCCAGAAACAGCAGAAACAGGACCGGTACCCTCAGCCTCAGGGTCTCCAGTCCCAGCAGCACCTCCAGCACCTCCAGCAGCTCCAGCAGCAGCAGCACCTCCAGCAGCTCCAGCAGCAGCAGCACCTCCAGCAGCACCTCCAGCACCACCAGCACCAGCAGCACCTCCAGAAGCTCCAGCAGCACCTCCAGCACCAGCAGCACCTCCAGTAGCACCAGCACCAGCAGCACCTCCAGAAGCCCCAGCAGCACCTCCAGCAGCACCAGCAGCACCTCCAGCACCACCAGCACCAGCAGCACCTCCAGAAGCTCCAGCAGCACCTCCAGCACCAGCAGCACCTCCAGTAGCACCAGCACCAGCAGCACCTCCAGAAGCCCCAGCAGCACCTCCAGCACCAGCAGCACCTCCAGCAGCACCAGCACCAGCAGCACCTCCAGAAGCCCCAGCAGCACCCCGACAGAGCCGAGAGTACCACTCACGAAGCCGCTGTGGAGAGAGAGGCTCCCGCCGCGGCGGGACACCGAGAGCACCTCCAGACGCAGCACGCGCACGCTCAGCACCCCCAGGCTCAGCACGCCCAGACTCAGCACCCCCAGACTCAGCACCCCCAGTCTCAGCACCCCCAGTCCCCGCACCCGCAGGCCCAGCACCCCAAGACTCAGCACCTGAGTCGACAGCTACCTCGACCGGCTCGGCAGGGTGTACCTGGGACACACCTGAGGGGGCAGGACCCTGGGGGGGGAGGGGGTCTACCGGGGGAGTACCTGGGGCAAGGAAGAGCGGCGGGGGAGGGGGAGAGGCAGTGTGGTAGGGAAAGAGACGGAAGTACGACGCCGACTCGTCAAACGTGACGTCCTGAGAGGACAGAACACAACGCGAGTTGGGGTGGTAGAACTGCCACCCGGGTGCGTCAGGAGGGAAGCCAAGGAAGACATAGGGAACGGCACGGGAGGACAGCTTGTCCGCAGTAGTATCGCGGACAAAAGCTCGAGATCCCCAGACACGGAACGCGGACGCATCGCCAACCTTCCCCATCCACCGCAGAGTAGGTATGGTCTCCGGCAAGGAGACACGAGGCTGAAGGTTGATCTGATGCGCTGCGTACTGAACCGCGAACGGCCACAGAAAATGGGGAGCAGCCGCATGGATCATGGACGTACGAGCGACGTCCACGACCATGCCAATGCGGCGCTCAGCAATCCCATTTTGCTGCGGGGAGGCCGGAAGCGTGAACGTCTGGCGGATGCCCTCCGCACGACAGAAGGCTCTCAGGAGGTCGGAGGAAAACTCCCCGCCTCTGTCTGAGTGCAGACGCAGAACAGGAAGGTCTGAGCCGAAACTCTCACTAAGCTGGCGACGAGCACCACAGATCCAGTCGATCAACACCTCAGGGACCTCACCCTTGCTGTGCAAGGGGAAGACTGTGGTGTAACGCGAGTAGTCGTCAACGACCAGCAGGAAGTAACGCTCGTGACCCTGTCCACGGACGCGGGCTGGGCCCCACACGTCCATGTGAAGAGTCTGCAGAGGAGCCTCAGTCGGAGGGAACGAGGAGGAGTGAGGGGCGGCGCGCTGCCGGCCCTCGACACAAGGAACACAGGTGGGGGCAGGCCCCGGAGGAAGGGGAGGGAGGGACCTGGGGAGACCAGAGACAAGGGCACGGGAGGCCATACCTCGAAGACGAGGCAGGGAGGGGTGACCAAGGCGGTGGTGCCAAAGGAGAGTCTCGTGCGACAGAGGACGACACGAGCAGGGGGCAGACACTGGACTAGACCTGGACGCGGCAGCAAACACCTGACTAGACGCAGCTACCTGACCAGACGCAGAGACCGGAGGAGGCGCAGTAGTCAGTGTGTACAGACTCGACCCTGGCCGACGGGTGAACGTGGCCAGGTGGCGACCCGTCCGAGAGCAAGTGCAGTGGGTCACACGCTGACCTCCAGGGGTGAACTGGTCAACCCACGCGTCCTGGAGGTCAGCTCCACTCACCAAGTTCGTAGAGAACGAGGGGAGGTGGAGTCCCGACAGCAAGCCCGACGGGGCCGCAGGACACGGTAAAATTGTAGAGGAGCGTGCAAGGACTGGGCCCCCTGAAGGGTCAGCAAGGGAGACCGCAACAGGCTGGCTGAGCGGCGTGAGCGTGGTGCTGTCTCTAAAGAAAGAGCGCGAAGCACCAGAGTCAAGTGTGAAAGTGTGCAAGGCCTCAGTAGGTGCAGTACCAGAGAGAGTAGACGTACCAGCACCTGGAGCAGCAGACGCACTAGCACCTAGGGCAGCAGACGCACTAGCACCTAGAGCAGCAGTCGCAGTGCCCGGGTCGGGCGGGACACTCAGGTAACAGTCACCCTCAGTAATATCAGCAAGAGCATACATGGCAGCAAGGATAGCATCAAAATCTAGATCAAAGATAGGCACATTCTGCAGAAGCAGATCATGCCAACGAGGGAGCTCAGCAGAGTCAGGAAACTGGGTACGCCAAGCGTCAGTCAAGCGACCGAAGCAGCGCTGCGTGGTGTGTGGGAGCCCACACACCTCCCCACTACGAGGGCCGGTGCGAAGAACGTAAGCGCAGGGACCTGCACCCCCAGACCTCCCACGCCCAGCGTACCACTCACGAAGTTGCTGAACCGACGGGGTCTCACTGGAGCGCGGCTGCTGCGGACGCTGGCTACCACCAGCGCCTCCACGCTGCGCGGCTGCACCTCGACCAGCACCACCGCCGCCGCCACCTCCACCACCGCTGCCGCTGCCTCCACCATCTCCGCCGCTGCCTCCACCACCTCCACTGCTGCCACTGAAGCCCCCACTCCCGGTGCCACCCCCACCGCCACCCCCACCCCCTCCTCCTCCTCCACCACCCCCCCGGCCGCCCCCTCCACCACCTCTGCTCCCCTTGCCCTTGCTGTTGCGGCGTCTCCCACTCAGAGCAGACGCAGCCCCAACCTCCTCAGTGCCAACGAGGTCGACAACAGCAGCAGAAGCAACAGAGGGGAGAAGGGGGACAGGGGAACACCCCTCAAAGAAAGGGGTGCGACGGTCGCCGCGAGAAGCACCTACAGCTAAGATACTCTTCTCAGCTGCAGTAAGGCGCTCCTCTAACAGGTCGACAGTCAGCTCGGTGGGGCAAAGGGAGAGGAAGTGATCCCTGACTGAGGAAAGTGAGTCAGGGAGGCGGGTGACTAGGTAGTAAAGGGTGATGTACATGAGGGGGGGGTTCTTGGCACAGAACTCAGTGGGAAGGGCAGCACGGTAGCGGGCGTCACTAGTGCGAAGGTGAGCAACTAGGTCAGCGACTATGGCAAAGGCGGCAAGGTCAGGGAAAAGGTACGGTAGCATGAGGCGGCTGAGTGCAGCAGTGGAAGGGGAGGAGTAGCGTGCAACTACAGCGTCGTACAAAGACTGAGCAGTCTTGTACTGGCCAAAGTGTGCGCGCTCAGCAGGCGGCAGGTGACTACGAACAGCAAGACGAGCAACAGCATCACGAGTGGTCCACTGAGAGCGAACAATACTGTCAGCAGTGACAGCAGGAGCAGTGGAAACACCAGACGTGTGATCGAAAAGAGATACTCCATCCCTAGAATCACACTAAAGAAACAGCTGGAGATCGTCAACCCAGACGTCAAAGCCAACTGCACGTCCCTCAACATCAAAGGTGAGAACGGTGGGACTAGCCATAGTAGCAGTAGGAGCAGCAGCAGTGCAAAGCAGTGATAGCAGCAGTAGAAGCAGTAGCAGCAGTCGAAGCAGTAGCAGCAGTGCTGCTCGGCAGAGCAGTGCGGCTCGGTGGGGGCGGCGCGGCTCGGCTGGGCGGCGCGGCTCGGCTACCGGCGGCGCGGCAGGAGGGAGGGGGAGGGGAGGGGAGCACGAGTGCTTACCAGGGGCCGCTGTTGGGGCGGCAGCAGGGCAGGGCCAGGCCGGTGACGGGCGGCTGGTCAGGGACGGGCGGCAGGTTGGCGACGGGCGGCTGGTCAGGGACGGGCGGCAGGTCGGCAACGGGCGGCTGGTCAGGGACGGGCGGCTGGTCAGGTGACTGGCGGCAGGTTGGCGACGGGCGGCTGGTCAGGGACGGGCGGCAGGTCGGCAACGGGCGGCTGGTCAGGGACGGGCGGCACGGGTCGCGAAGAGGCCGCTACGAGCCGGAAAGGGGGCCGTTACGGGCCGGAAGGGGGGCCTCTACAGGCCGCGACGGGCAGTGAAGGGGCCGCGACGGGCCGTGAAGGGGCCGCGACGGCCGTGAAGGGGCCGCGACGGGCCGTGAAAGGGGCCGCGACGGGCCGATAAGGGGGGGCGCTACGGGCCGCAAAGGGGGCCGCTACGGGCCGCAAAGGGGGGGCCGCTACGGGCCGGAACGGGGCCGCTACGGGCCGCAAAGGGGCCGCGACAGGCCGCGAAGGGGCCGCGACGGGCCTAGAAGGGGCCGCGACGGGCCGTGAAAGGGTCGCCACGGGCCGCAAAGGGGCCGAGACGGGCCGCAAGGGGGGCCGCTACGGGCCACGAAGGGGCCACTACGGGTCGCAAAGGGGCCTCTACGGGCCGTGAGGGGGGCCGCTACGGGCAGCGAAGGGGCCGCGAAGGGCAGGCGCGACGCGCGCGTCGGGCAGGTAAGGAAAAAAATCGTTTTAGTGGTGGGCCCTTAGGAAAAAAAAGTCGAACTAGCTCTATACCATGTGAGATAATTGAAGAAATGAATGATTGAACTAGAAACGGGATGGGTACTAGTAGAGAACACAAAAGTGTTGTACCCTCTAAGAACTACCCCACTACAGCCTAAACAGACTATAGCAGATATAAGTTTGACAGCCGAGGGGCCGAGGGCGAGTTGGGCCGCGGGGCCTAGGCTAGAGGCGACGGGCGACGCCAAGGGGCGACTGGTCGCTAGAGGCCGTGGGGCCGAGGCTAGGGGCGACGGGCGACAGGGGTCGCTACGAGCGACGGGCTAGGGGTGACGCCAAGGGGCGACGGGCCTAGGGGTGTCGAGCGCGAGCAACGGGCCACGGGGCCGGGGCCTAGGGGCGACGGGCAACAGGGGTCGCTACGGGCGACGGGCTAGGGGCGACGCCAAGGGGCGACGGGCCTAGGGGTGTCGAGCGCGGGCGACGGGCCACGGAGGCCAGGGCCTAGGGGCGACGGGCCGAGGGGCGACGGGCGACGGGCCGTGCCGAACGTCGAGAGTAGGGCCGCACGAGGGCGGCGCGCAGGACTGTAGGTGGTGGGCCCAAGGGTCGAAGCTGCTCTGATACCATGTTAAAGTAGGAAGAGCCATAGCTAGAGTGAAAGCTAGGCAAGTGTCGAGAGAAAAGTTGAGAAGGAAAAATGGTGTTTCACTAAGAGAAGAAAGTACAAGATATAGGAGTGAGAGATGACAAAGGGTGCACCACCTACAAGGACTATAACAGTAACTATACTACAGCTATAACTATATGCAGTTATACAGAAATATATATAAAATATATTCTGACATGTATGTCGGGTACGGACCCTGCCAGAAGAAGGAGATTTGAATCTCGACAGAAGTGACTATAACAATGTGGTACAAAGGTTTATGTAGGAATACAAGAGAATACGAAAGGTCCTAGCTAGCCATATACTCAGCGAGGGTACATTCCCCTTAGGGCTAACCTACATCGGGAATTCCAATCGTGCGGTTCGGTAACAATACGCGCCACGGTAACTGTTTGAATGCATTTTCCGCGCTTGCACTTCGAATTCATTCTGCTTTCAACCGTCTTCGATAACTGTTTGCGTCACTCGATCTTCGTCCTCGCTGCAGTCATCTACGCGTTAAGGATTCGTTACTTTAGGAATGCTATTCAACAATTCCATATCGTAGCACTGCGCACTCTTCTTCATTACAACTCATAACATTGTACGAACAATGGTTATACATGTTATGAACGAACTTGCAGAGTGTGCAGAATAAAGAAAAACGAGAATGTTGAACTACTGAATGACGATACAAGTAAAATGGCAGGACTAAATAGGGAAAAACCTAGCTAGGCGGGGAGGTCGGGCGAGGATGGCTCGGGAGGGTTGCGCTTGGTGCGGAGGCGACTCGGGGTTGGTTTGGCCGACGAAATAGGGTGAACAGGTTCGTCGCTTGACCCTCCGAACGGACTCGCTAACAATGCAGGTGTTAGCAGGTAACTGAAGGCAGGAATGAATGTACCATGACACGCCCTCAGGGGGGGTTTTAAATGAACCTGGTTCGTTCAATGCGGTCAAGTACGTAATAAAATACGGTTACCTTCGGTGGAAACTCAGAATCGTCTTCAACCATTTTCTAAAGCACCGAACCGCATAAAATGCGTGAGGCTCATTTAAACGTGACCCGCCCTCATTCCACCTCTCAAATTTTGCACGTTCATTTCTTTTTCTGAGACGCACCCTCCGCTCCACAGATACCTCACCCTCCGCGCACCCTCTGTTTCCCCGTGACGTCCTCAACATACCGCCTCTCAAGACCACAGGCGTAACACACCAGCTCCGTACCACCACGCGCATTGCACCGCGAGACCGCGGGGCTAGGCCAGCGGGCGCGCGGCAGGCGTAGCTTGCACGTTAGTCTAAAGCCGCCCCAGGCGAGTCTAGAGGCCATGCGACCGTGCGTTGTTGTCGCCCAGCCGCGGCAGCTGCATTCTCTTCGTAGCCTAGCCGGTGGCTGAACGCCACGCGTCAGTTCGCGGCGCTCCTCGCACGCTGCCTGGATGGAGCCAGGCGGAGGAGGGAGGGGGCGAGGGGGAAAGGGGGCACGGAGGGGGAAAAGCGGGGGAGGTGCAAGAGGGAGGAGAGGAAGTGCGAGGGGGGAGGCGGTCGGCGGGGTGGCGGAGGGGATTGCAGAGGCTTGGTGGGCGATTGGGAGAGGCGCGGAGGGCGGCTACGTGGGAGCAGGAGGACTCGCGGCGGGGGGGACGGGATGGGGCGTGGAGGGGGCCGCGGAGGTTGCCGCAAACGTGCGCGGAGCGGCAGTGGCAGCGTGGGAGGGCGGAGGGACGGGCGGAGGAGTGGGAGCGGTGGGCGGAGGAGGGGACGCAGCGAATGCAGCGGAGGGATGGACAGGGGGAGGCGCGGTGGGGCGCGTATCCCGCCGCAGAGGAGGCAGGGGGAGGGGCTCGGATGGCGGCGCAGGGGGGAGTAGGGCGCGCTCAATCGAGGGCGCGGGCGCGGGAAGGGGGAGAATGGGGGTCGGAACGGGGCAAGCGGAAGGCAGTCGCGGGCGGGGGATGGTGGCACGCGGTGGGAGGGGCGGAGGTGTGGCGCGCAGGCAGGAATGGATGGGGGCAGGCGCGCATGCGCGTGGGGATGCGCGGATGAGAGGAGGGAACGCTGGCAGGGGGTGGGACGCGGGTGGGGGAATGGGGTACCTCGATGGGCGGGTGAGTGGTGGAGAGGCGTTGGGAGCGGTGGGGGACCAGCAGAGGCGTAGGGAGGAGTACGAAGGTGCAGCGAGGGGAAGGAGAGTGGAGATGGCGTGGGGGTTGGAGGGCGACAAGGAAGGGGATCGGTGTGATCGGAGGGGCGAGGGGGCACACGCAAGGCAGCAGATGGTGGGCTCAGCAGATGGGAGAATGCACCGCCTGCCGCAGCAGCAGCGTGAGTATGAGCAGCAACGGCAGCAGGGGGGAGGGGGCGGCGAGAGGCAATTTGGTGTTGCGGCGGGCGGGTGGGAGGAGGGTGGGCGGGCGGAGTGGCAGCTTGGCGGTGGAGTGGGTGGCAGTGGGGAGGAGCTTGGGCGCAACGACGTGGGTGTGGGTGCGGACGGTGGGGGGTGTGGGGCATGGGGGGAGTGGTATGAGGGGGAGGAGGGTGGAGGAGCGGCAGAGGAGGAATTTGAAGGAGAGGGAGGGGAGGAGTGGGGGGGAGAGGCAGGGGAGGAGTTGGCAGGAGAGGCAGGGGAGGGGGAGGAGGACTATGAGCTGGGCTATGCTGCTGGCCTCGCAGCTGCACGTGAGGCCCTCAGACAAGCCTCTGCCTCCACTACCGCCGCCGCTGCTGGAGGAGCAGTAGTTGGTGCTGGCGGGGCGGCTGTTGTTGGCGCTGCTTCCACGGGTTCCGTTGACGATGGGACAGCAAGCGGTGCTGCGGAGGCAGGCATGGATCTCATGCTGCCTCACCACCCGCCTGCTGCAGCACCACGGAGCGCAGTGGCTGCTCCTCACACAACGGATGGACCTCATGTGCCCGCGGCAGCAGCAGCAGCAGTAGCAGGCGACAGTGCAGGCGAGCAGGAAGAGGCAGGCGGCGGCGGCGGCTGCGGCAGCAGGCGATGCGGCGGGGGAGACGGGGGAGAGAGCAGGAGCGGGCGGCGCAAGCCCGTGGACGTGAGTGTGAAGCGCGAAATCTGTGAGCTGCGGCGCCTGCGACCCGGCATCACCGTACCGGGCATCATGCACGTGTGCCGCGCCAAGTACCCACACATTCGCCTCATCCCCTCCCACGTGCGCGGCATCCTCGACAACGCGCCCCGCTGGAGCTCCGCGCTGGCGCAGCGCAGCAGCAAAAGCGTGCGCGCGCCTGAGAGCATGGCGCTGGAGGAGGCGCTGGTGGCGTGGGTGAGGGACATGAAGGGCGGCCCCGGCGCCACCAAGGTGCAGCTGCAGGCCATCTGCGCCAAGGGCCGCCAGCTGGGCCCGTCCTTTGGGGTCTCGCCCTCCTTCAGGTGCTGCCACGTGTTGCTTGCTTGCTGCTTCCTCTGCGCCCTCGGACCCTCACCTCTCCCCTTGCTGCCATGTCTCTCATGTCAACTCAAGGCTTCCCAGTGAAACTATCCTCTCGTACTCTTCCCCCCCGCAGGTACAGCATCGGGTGGGCGTGGCGCTTCCAGGTGCGGTGGGGGTTCACAAAGCGGGACCTGGAGGAGGAGAGGGAGGCGTACTTCAATGACGACCCCGCTGCCGCCGCCGCCGCTGCTGCTGCTGCTGCTGCTGCTGCTGCAGCGGGCAGTGCGGAGCCGTCGCTGGTGCAGCTGGCAGATGAGATCTTTGGCGCTCAGATCCTGGTGGCGCGCACTCATGGTGACGATGCGGTGGATGGGGAGGGGCAGGGGGGGGAGGAGGATCATGAGGATGGGGGTGAGGAGGATGGAACGGGTGAGGGTGGAAGGGGACGAAGGGGAGGGAGGGGAGGGAGGGAAAGGAGGGGAGGGAGGGAAGGGCGGGGAGTAGTGGGAAGGGCGGGTGGAAGGGAGGGAGGGAGGGGTGCGTGTAGGGGGAGGATGAGGGTGGTGAGGCGGGACACGTCACTGACGGCCGGCAGAGAAGTAATCGACCTGGAAGGGGGTGAGAGTGGGGAGAGAGAGGAGAGGGGCGAAGGTGGGGAGAGGGGTGAGAGGGGCGAAGGGGCAGAAAGGGACGAGGGGGGCGAGGGGCAGCTGGGGCGGCGGAGGGGCCAGGGCGGTTCAGGGGAGCGGGCGCAGCAGGGCAGGGAGCAGGCAGGTGGGGGGGCAGGCGAGGAGGGCAATGGGGGCCGGGCGTCACAGGCAGAGGCAGCAGAGGCAGGTGGATGGCCGGGCGGAGCAGATTTGCTGGCCGGCACAGCAAGAGGCGCAGCAAGGGAGCGGGCGAGGATGAAGGCAGCAGGCAAGGCGGCACGCGCGGTGCATCCCAGCCGAGAGCTGCTGGCGCTGGCACTGGCAGAGGCTGGCGTGGAAGGGGAGAAGGCGGGTGGCGGCATGCAGGGAGCAGGTGGGTGTGACTCGGATGCTGCAGCAGCCACAGTGGCAGACGAGGGAGTCAGAAGGGCGGCGCCGCCAGCAGGGGCAGCAGTGAGGGGTGCAGCAGCAGCAGCAGCAGCAGCAAGAGTGGGAGGGGCGCTGGTTGATGTGGAGGCGGCAGTGGCAGCAGCAGGGGACCTCCGCCTGGACCCCCCCAGCGATCACGCCAGTGGTGGCGACGCCCATGGTGCTGATGCTGGTAGGCGGCACGTGGAGAGGCAGCGTGCTGCAGCGAGGGAGAAGCGGGCGCCTGGTGGGAAGCGCAAGCACCGGGCGGCAATCAGTCTGCGGCTGAAGCGAGTGATCTGCATGCTGAGGGCCGCCCGCCCCGACATGGCGGCCAAAGACATTCTCGGCCTTGTGCACCGCGCCTTCGCTGCCACCGCTCGCCATCCTCAAGCAACCCCCACCACCACCTCCATCACCACCTGTGCCACCGCCGCTGCTGCTGGCAGGGCAGCGAGCTTGGCAGGGGGTGGCGTGGAGGCGGCGGGAGCGGTGGCGCTGGATGTGGCGGCGGTGCGGCGCATTCTGAGGAAGAGCCACTTTTACCTCGCCCTGCCTGCCCACGGCGCCACCCTCATCCGCCACAGCAGCGGCGGGCACCCCCAGGTGCAGGCGGCTGTGGCGGCGTGGGTGCGGGTCATGGATGCACGGTACGGGCGAGAGGCCCTGCGGTGGGATGATGTTTTGGAGTATGCGAGACAGGTGGGGCCGCACATGGGCGTGGGAGAGGGCTTCCGGTATAGCCGCCACTGGGCTCGCAAGGCCCTGCTGCGGCACGGGCTGGGGAGCAGCTGGGGCAAGCAGGTGGAGTGTGGGAGTGGGAAGAAGAAAGGTGAGGATAGAGGAGATGGGGGAGAGATGTTGATTGATGGTAGCACCACTGATGGTAACACGACTGATGGAAACACCACGGAAGGGCAGAGCAGTGATGGTGGAGGGACAGACGAGGAGAGGGAAGAGGGGCGCCATTCACTGCACTCTGACCGCCCTGCTGCCACTGCTGCTGCTGCTGCCTCTGCCTCTGCCACTGCTGCTACTACTCCTGCTGCTGCTGCTGCTGCCGGGTGTGCTGGGCGGGCAGCGGGGGGAGAGCAGCAGCAGGAGGGCCCGGTGGAACGCCTGCAGCGCCTGGCGGAGCAGTGGGCTGCTGAGCCACGCACGCCAGGGCAGGCGCAGGGGCGCACAGGGGAGGGGGCGGACGGCAGGAAGCGGCAGTGGCGCCACACGGTTGTGCCGCCCGCTGTGAAGCTCGCCATGTGCGCCCTCGCCCGTGCCCTCCCCTCCCTCCCCTCCAAGGCCATCGCCCGCGTTGTTGGCGCCAGGTGCGTTGTGCCACTGTTGGCGCCAGGTGTGTTGTGCCACTGTTGGCGTCAGGTGCGTTTTGCTCCTTGCCTGAACAACTAGATTCTCTTTCACCCTCACCTGCGCCACCTCCTCCCTTCCTCCCTGTTTCATGCATCCTGGTTGTAATTGGTCAACCCAACCCTTTCTCTCCAGAGCCATCTGTCCTTTCTCGCTGTTATTGCTGCTTCTGGTGCCTTCCACATTCTCTTGCCTCCCTTTCTCCACCCTTTTCTCTCTCTCCCTTCACGCTCCACACCTCCCCTCCCGGTGGGTCCCTCCCCCTTGGCGTGGCGTGGCATGGTATGGCATGGCATGGCAGGTACGGCGTGCGACTAACAAACGTGTGGCTGCCAGCGGTGCTGCTGAGGGAGGACGACTGGAGGCAGCTGGTGCAGCTCTCCCACGCTGGCAGGCCGGGCGCCGTCAGACTACGCCCTGCTGAGACCCGCCTCGAGGAGGCTCTTGCGCTCGCAGTGAGGAAGGCTATAGCGAGGATGGAGGACAGGCGAGCTGCAGGGGACGGTGGGGGGGGCGAGGTGGGGAGCAGAGGGGGGCCGGGGGCGGAGCAGCAGCAGGTGTGTGTGAGGGCGGTGCAGGAGTATGCGAGGCGGCTGGCACCGCTGGTGGGGGTGGGTCGGAGATTCACATGCAGCCTGGCATGGGTGCAGCAGTTCATGCAGCGCTGGGGGTTCCACCCCCCTGTTGGCGCGGGAAGAGCAGGTGGTGGGGCGAGAGGGCGAGGGGGCGGGCTGGGTAGAGGGGAGGAAGTTCGGGCGGAGGACGAATTTGAAGAAAGGGGGGGAGAGGAGGGGGAGGAGAGTGAGGGGCAGGGAGGAGTGAGGGCGAGGATAAGGGGGATACTGGACGAGCGGTGTGAGGTGAAGGAGGAGGAGGTGGCAGCGCTGGTGGCGCTGGCAGAGGAGCAACGGGAGAGGCGCGCTCAGATCAAGGCGAGTGGACGCCGGCTGACTGACGTGCGCGAGGAGGAGTGGATACAAGGGGGGCAGCAGGATGGTGGTGGTGGGTGGCGTAGGGCGGCTGGGAATGGGATGGAGAGTGATGGTGGCGATGGTGGGGATGGTGGCGTTACTGGTGACAGCGAGGGTGGCTTTGATGACACGGACACTGATGGTGGTGGTTTTGACACGGACACTGATGGTGGTGGTTTTGACACAGACAATGATTTTCACCTGCCCACCCTCCATTCGCATACGAGCCCGCACGCTGCTGCCACTGCTGATGCTTTCACTCGTTCTGCCCGTCAAGCCATCGCTGCACAAAGTGCTGCACCTGCTAATGCCACCACTGCTGCTGTTGCCACTGCTGCTACTGCTGGTGCTGCCACTGCGAATGCTTCTGCTGCTGCTCCTACACATGCTCCCATGACCCCACCACCTCAAGTGAGCACGCTGCTGGCATCGCTGGCCGGCGTGCGGGTGGCATCTGCCGCCCAGGCCGCCCCACAGCTGCAGTCTGCATGGGCTGCCCTTGCCGCAGCCACCCCCTTCCCCGGGAAGCTCACAGCCCACCGGGTAGCAGCGGTGGGGCGCGCATGGCGGAGGCTTGAGAGGACCCGCGTGGTGGTGTGGGAGATGGGTGAGGGGAGTGAGAGCAGTGAGAGCATGAGCGTAGAGGAAAGTGGAGTGAGGAGCAGTGAGGAGTGGGAGTCGAAGGAGGGCATAGTTGGCATGGTGGCAGGGAGGAGCGCAGGAGGGGGCATGCCTGGTGGGCGAGGCCGGAAGAGAAGGAGGAGCGGGGATGTGCAGGACGGTGTGGTGGTGCATGCCTGTGATGCCATCCCCGCTCCTTCTCATCACGGGGATGTGCAGGACGGGGTGGTGGCATCATGGGCCAGGGCAGCAGCAGCGGGGAGTGGGGCGGCCATGGCAGCCAGGGGAGCAGCAGGCGGAGGGCAGTTGGCAGCAGGCGGGCAGGTGTCAGCGGGCGTGGCAGCACCGCTGCTGGCCCCTGAGCTTATAGTGGCAGCAGCCCTCCGAGGTGCTCTCACTCCCCACCCCATGCCTGCCCCTTTTGCTGCTCACGCCCCGTGCTTCCCTTTTCCCCACGCTGTGCTACCTGCCACCACCGCACTCCACTCCCTTGCACAGCTGCTTGCATCTGCTGGCCTGCTATCCGCCCTTCTCCCTGTCACCCGGCTGTACGGATTTGGCTGGGGGCAGCAGCTACTCACTGCCGCCCCCCCTTCCTCCCACGTACCTCCTTCTCTCCCAACGCTGCCTTCCCCCCGGTCTCTCACTGCGTTCCTTACTTCACTCACATCCACCCCACCGCCTCCCTCCACCACAGCTGCTGCTGCTCCCGCCAATGCCTCTATGGCAGCTAGACCATCTGCGCCTGTGCCACCTGCTGCTGCCACCACAACACCTGCTCCTGCTGCTGTTCCAGTTGCTCCTGCTGCTGCTGTTCCTGCTCCCAACATGTCCATTCCCACTACTGTTCCTGCGTCCGCTCCTCCTTCTAATCCTGCTGCTGATTCTTCTGCTCCTGCTCTTCTTCCTGCACCCGCTTCGTCCCCCTCTGCTCCCAGCAGTGCAGCAACGCATCCAGCTGTTGCCACACCTGTGTCTACTGTTGCTGCAACTGATGCCACTACTCATATTGCTCCGCTGACCAAAGCTGCTACCACCACTGCACCTTCTGATACCGCGACTGCACCTGCTGCCACTGCCACTGCAACTGATGTTTTCAAAGCCAGTTCTACAGCAGCTGTTTTGGTGCAAGCAGCTGTTTCGGCGCAAGCAGCTGTTTCGGTGCAAGCAGCTGTTGCTGCCTCTGCACCTCTTGCTGCTGTCACCACTATAACTGATGCTGCTATCGGCAACAATAGACTGGCACTTTCAGCTGCGCCTGCGACCTCTGCCATTGCACCTGCTGGTACGGCCACTGTAGTTGCTGCTAGAATGGCTGCTCCAACAGCTGATTCTGCTATTGATTCTGCTTCTGCTATTGGTTCTGCCACTCCCTCCCAGCAGTCATGATGTGAGCATGTCGGTTAGCATCATTGTGAATGTTTTGCTACCAATTTTCCCTTTGCTACTTCTCAAGGTCCATTGCATAATTAGCTCTCATCCCAGTTTTGTCACAACCGTGGTGTACAGATGGATGGCTACACACACACACACACACACACACACACACACACACACACACACACACACACACACACACACACACGCACGCACGCACGCGCGCGCGCGCGCGCGCGCGCACACACACACACACACACACACACACACACAAAAGGTTTGAGTGTGCTTTACAGAGAGTTGGAGTGCAAAGTTGTTTATGAATGGACGCGGGTGACTGGCGCATCAATCGTGCCTCCGATGCCAAGTGTATCCGTCCTCCATATATCTTTTTCATTTGGTGTGATGGATGTCCTGCAGCGAGATGGGAAGAAAGTGCGACTATTGCGATCCCTTAACAGTTACTGTTAGTCAGGCCCCAGGATTGGTTTTACGCCACCCTAGCTCTCCCACCAGGGCCTCAGATCCGTTTTTGCCTAGGCTGAATCGTCAGCCTTACCAGGCGCCTGAAGGCTGATCAATCAGTTCTGTACCTAAAAAAAAAACTGAAATATCAGTGTTGTGGTTGCAAAAAAGGCTGACTAATCAGCCTTAATTATAAAGCAAAGGCTGAACAATGCTAAAGCCTAATTTTCATTAAGTTAACAATTAATAACTAACAAGACAGGACAATACAGGCTCTCACCCGCACATATCATCATCATCGTCACTAGAGGGACACTCTACCACATCACCCACTGGCTCCTCCTTGTCATCTACCTCTATCTCTTGCTTGCCTTTCTTGCGGGTGTCACTTGGGATTGGGGTGCAAATGGGGGCATTGCTAAATGGCTTACGCTTCCTTTAGCTCCTCCAGATCTCAACTACCTCATCGTAGTTGGGCTCATACTGCATCAGGGACATACACATGAGATCCCCCAGCCTTGCATCCTTGATGCCACCTCGAAGCCAAGACTTATTCACGTTATGCCGAAAAAAGCCCCGTTCACAGTCCACAGAGCTGAGGGGAATGACCGCCACCGCTACCCAGAGCTGCACAAGGTTGGGGTAGCTCTCCCGCCAGTCCGGTGTATTGAGAATCGCCATGAGGCCACTATGGAAGCTCCCCTTTCCCATCGGGGCTCCTGCAAGGACTGGAAAAAAATAGCCGAAGCTCTTTGCCTGCCAGCCTCTTGATGTGTGAAGGGTTTTGGGAGGGAGAATAACACCGAAAAGTAAATGAACCAACAAGAGAGGCGAATCAAGCAGGGCAAACAATGGTACATGGTATTGTGACATAAACTCACTTGGTAGCATCTCTTCCCGGCCTTGAGCCTTGAACAACGTCACCAGTGAAAGAAGCCATTCCTGGCAAACACTACAAACAATTCTCGGCCTAGCGAGCGCAGGAGCATGTCAAGCCCCGTCCTGGTGTCCTCGATATTAGAATCCTAAACAAGAAGTGGTCGATTAGGTTGAGAGAGGGGTACAAGTACAATGTCGAGAGATATTGTGTACCCCCTAAGGCTAAACCCACTAGAGCCTAGTACAAGATAAATATTTAATGTTTGACACACCCCCATAGGCGAAGTGGGGGTTAGCCAGAGCAAGCAATGGTCACAAGACAAGTCAAGAGAAGAAGCAAAGCGAAGCAAAGCTCAGGGTGGATCTCAAGATCACCACGCATTCAGAGCACAAGCGAGTGGCCACAAGGACAGTTCACATGCAGAGTTTATAATAGCAAGAGCAGTACACCGATCACAACCTAGCAAGTGTAAGCACGCAGGTATAATCATATATATCAGTGTACAACAAGAGCAAGATCAAGAGACAAGCAAGTGAGGCAGAGTGGGCACAAGCCCAAGAGCAGTGCAGAAACGCTGATGATCACCAGACCCAAGGGCCTTGGTGAAGACATCAGCAGTGTTGGCCCGCGAGGCCACGTAGGAAAGGCGGAGCTGACGACGCTGCTGCAGCTCTCCTGCAAGGAAGTAGTGAAGAGCAATGTGCTTTGTTCTGTGCTCCAGTCTCTACTCGTGACACAAGGCAAGCATTGCCTTGTTGTCGACGTACAGAACTGGAGGAGAACAAGGCCGCTCCCCCAAGTCGGTCAGCAGGTAGGTCAGCCAGCATAGCTCCTGTGCAGCCATGGCCCCAGCGTAGATATTAGCCTCACAGCTGGAACCAAGCACAGAAGAAGAGCGAGTGGACCTCCACGAGACAGAACCAGAGCCAAGACTGAAGGTATAACCCTGTGACGAATGCTGAGTCGCCTAGTCATCGGCCCAAGAAGCGTCGGAGTGTCCTGTGAGTACCACTGAACCCCATCCTCCAAGCACGAGCCCCATGCCAAATGTAATGCACAAGTAATGCAGAACCCTCTTTGCAGCATCCTAGTGCACCTTTTAGAGTCTACCGAGAGCCACGTAGCGAGCCAGGAGGCTGAGAGGGTACGCGAGGTCAGGTCGTGTGCACGTCATCAGGTACATGAGGCAACCCACAAGCTCTGGGTACGGACCACTCGGCTCTATGGACTTGTCCGAAGGTGGAGCTGAGAGCGAGTGGCTGGTAGACAGAGGAGTGGGCTGTGGCGAGGAGAACTGGAAGCCGAAGCGATGAAGGACCTGGTGCACCATGTGTGATTGAGTCAGGGTGATGGTGCGCCGTGCTCTGTCCCGGGTGATCTGCAAGCCAAGATAGCTCTGCAGCTCACCCAGGTCAGTGCAAGTGTGTCTCTCATGCAGCTCCGCCTTCACTAGGGACAGCGCCTCCATGTCAGCAGTAGCAAAAACTAAGTCGTCGACGTACACGAGAACGTAGAATGGCGGCAGGGTAGTGTCGGTGCGTAGAAACAGCGACGGGTCAGCAGTCAAAGGAGCAAACCAAAGAGCCGCAAGCGTCGTTCTCAGTGTGTCGTGCCACTCGCGAGGTGCCTGACGCAGGCCGTAAACTGGTCGCCGTAGGCTCCACTGGGTACCCTCAGGAAACGACCCTGTGAAACCAAGTGGACGGCGCAGCCAGATGGCCTTGTGAAGGCTGCCCTGCAAGAAAGCTGTGGAGAAGTCAAGGGAGTGCAGCTTGTAGTCACACTGAGCTGCAACGTGTAGTAACACCCGAAGAGTGGTCATCTTCGGGGTAGGGGAGAAGGTCTGGAAGAAGTCGACCCCCTGTCGCTGACTGAAGCCTCGAGCAACGTAACGCGCCTTGAAGGCAGGCGGAGAACCCGGCGGCCGCTTCACCCTGAAAATCCACATGCCACTGACGATGTTCGCCCTAGGTGGGGGAACCTCATCGACGTAGGTGCCTGTGGACTTCCAGGAAGCCATCTCTGCGTCCATGGCTGTCTGCCATTGAGAGGAGTACTCACCCGAGATCACCTCTGCGTAAGAGCGCGGGGTGGGGATGTCTGGTACATCCGGGTCTCCCTCAGGGGCAAGCAGCATGGCCTGTCTTCAAGGCACGTTATGTGGTTTGTGGCTTCAGTCAGCGGCAGGGAGTTGACTACTTTCAGACCTTCTCTCCCACCCCGAAGATGACCACTCTTCGGGTACTGCTGCACATAGCTGCTCACCGCGACTACGAGCTGCACTCTCTTGACTTCAGCACTGCTTTCTTGCAGGGCAGTCTGCACGAGGAGATCTGGCTGCGTCGCCCACCTGGCTTCACTGGGTCTTTTCCTCTTGGCACCCAGTGGAGCCTCCGGCGGCCAGTCTACGGTCTCCGCCAGGCACCGCGTGAGTGGCACGACACACTGAGGATTACACTTGCGGCTCTTGGGTTTGCTCCCTCTACTGCCGACCCGTCGCTGTTTCTGCGCACCGACACTTCTTTGCCGCCGTTCTACATCCTCGTGTACGTCGACGACTTGGTCTTTGCCACAGCTGACACTGCTGGACTCGCCCACGTGAAGTCCGAGCTGCAGAAGAGACACACGTGCACAGACCTGGGTGAACTGCGCAGCTACCTTGGCTTGCAGATCACCCGGGACAGAGCACGCCGCACCATTACCCTGACTCAGTCACACATGGTGCAGCAGGTCCTTCAGCGCTTCGGCTTCACGTACTCCTCGCCTCAGGCCACTCCTCTGCCTACTCGCCACTCGCTCTCAGCTCTGCCTTCGGATGAGTCCGTAGAGTCGAGTGGCCCGTACCCAGAGCTTGTTGGCTGCCTCATGTACCTGATGACCTGCACACGACCTGACCTCGCATACCCTCTTAGCATTCTCGCACGCTATGTTGCTCCTGGGAGACACAGACCGGAGCACATGGCTGCAGCGAAGAGGGTGTTGCGTTACTTGTGCAGTACGTCGGGCATGGGGCTTGTGCTTGGAGGGCAGAGTCCAGTGGTCCTCACTGGGCACGCAGACGCTTCTTGGGCTGACGACCAGGCTACGCAGCGGTCGTCACAGGGTTACACCTTCAGCCTTGGTTCCGGCTCTGTTTCGTGGCGGGCTACCCGCTCGTCTTCTGTTCTCGGCTCCAGTTGTGAGGCTGAGATCTACGCCGGGGCCATGGCTGCACAGGAGCTTCGCTGGCTCACCTACCTGCTGACTGACCTCGGAGAGCCGCCTCGTTCTCCTCCAGTGCTGTACGTAGACAACAAGGCCATGCTGGCCTTGTGTCGAGAGCAGAGACTGGAGCACAGAACGAAGCACATTGCTCTCCGCTACTTCCTTGCTCGTGAGCTACAGCAGCGTGGTCAGCTGCGGCTTGCGTACGTGGCCTCTCAGGCCAACACTGCTGATATCTTCACCAAGGCACTTGCGCCTTGTGATCATCAGCGCTTCTGTACTCAGCTGGGTCTTGTGCCTACCTTGACTCACTTGCTCACCCCTTGACCTTGTTTGTACTGTTGCATATATATATACACCTGCTCTTGCTTGTCTAGCCTTACATATATATGTAATCCTGCATGTGAACTGGCCTTGTGGCCTTGAACTTGTGCTCGGAATGTGTGGTGACTTTGTGATCCACCCTGAGCTTGACTGGTCTTGTGACCCCTTGTTCTCCCCCACTTTGCCTATGGGGGTGTGTCAGATTTATATGACATAGCT